TAATTATTCATTTACATTTTTATTTTTATTTTTTAATTTTTAATTATTCATTTACATTTTTATTTTCAATTTTCAAATTTTTTTTTTTTATTTTTTTATTTTTTTATTTTATTACTTCGTTATTTTTTACACGTTCATTAATTTATTTTTCTATTTCGTTTTTCACATACTTTATCATTTATTTTTCACATTTATTTATGTCTTCCTTTTTTATTTTTTTTATTTTTTAATTTATTTTATTATTTCCTTATTCATTTATTTTATAATTTACTTTTTACATTTATTTATGACTTCGCTTATTTTAATTTTATTTTTTAATTTATTTCATTATTATTCATTTACTTTATCGTTTATTCTTCGTTTATTTATGTCTTCATTTATTTTTATTTTATTTTTTAATTTATTTTGTTATTCATTTACTTTATCATTTATTCTTCATATTTATTTATATCTTCGTTTATTTTTATTTTATTTTTTATTTTATTTTTTTTTATCTTTGTATTTATTTATGTTCTTCGTTTATTTTTATTTTATTTTTTAATTTATTTTGTTATTCATTTATTTTATCGTTTATTCTTCATATTTATTTATGTCTTCGTTTATTTTTATTTTATTTTTTAATTTATTTCGTTATTCATTTACTTTATTGTTTACTTTTTACTCTTATTTATATCTTCGTTTATTTTTATTTTATTTTTTAATTTATTTCTTTATTTCCTTATTCATTTACTTTATCATTTATTTTTCATACATTTATTTATGTTTCTTCTTATTCTTATATTTATTAATTCATTTATTGATGATTAATAATCTTAGAAAAATATTTTTTTTTAACGAAAAGTAAAATTCTTTCAAAATTTTACCTTTTTTTCTACTCCATCCCTCTCCATTAATACAATTTTACTTTCAGCAAATTTTTGTGGCCGCGCGCAATGCGGTCAGTAGAGTCAGTGTTTGCTTCGTCAAAGTTTTTTTAAATCCTTAAAAGGATAACGCGAAATTAGAATCAGTGTTTGCTTCGTGAAAGTTTTCTTAAATCCTTCAATGGATAACGCGAAATTAGAATCAGTGCTTCTCTCAAGAGGACAAGACGATCGTCCATCACTCCAACAGGTAACTATATTTTATTCTATTCAAATTTTTCTTCTTCTATTCGTACAGTATCATTAGATTTTAAAAACTTCAAGTCTTTTTTATTAAAAACCTCAATTTTTACTACTATTATATCACTCTAACATTTATTATAATTTATTTAATTTTATTTATTTTTATTTAACTTTAAATGGGTCTCGATGCATAGTCACCTCCTCGTGGTGAGACCCGGTAATTGGTATCGATTTTTTCGTTGGATTAATCTTTGAAAAATTTCCTAAACGAAAATTTTCCAAAGATAAATTTTTCTAAAATTCGATACCGAGCCAAGAACTACGCAGTATCTGCAGCCCAGGCCAGACTCGTCCAAATTTTCCTTCGGATATTTTTTGGTCGAGTCTGGACTGGACTGCAGATACC